TATTGTAAACATGTCAACTCCATCAGAACATAAAAATATTGGCATGTTCTGAACACCTTTCGAATAATGAGGCAAAATTTCACCAACTTAGCAGATCGCGAAATTTTGTAGTGAAGGAAATGCTGACAGAAATGGTTTACATGTAAAGCAATTATTAATTATTAGTTATTTACTGGTGAAATTATTACACTACACTACAGCTAAAATAAACGGTATGTTATGAATTCCATATTTCATGAAGAATGTATTGTTGATTTACGTAAAACTTAATAATGAGTGAAAGGAGATTTCTATGATGAAACGATAATATACGAGTATTAAACGAGGATGGAGTTTATGGTAACATATTGCATTAAATAATTAATGAAATTAGTTTATACTGAAACACAATGAGAATGTTTTTTTTTTGAAAGGCAACAAAATGTGAAATTTTAATAACATTTTCGTAAGTGCCACCACCTTTCAACTCAGGACTCTTTACATAGGTGTTTGCGGCTTTGACTTTTTCTTTCTCTTTAATAGCCCTTGGAATTTTTTTGTCTCCCTCATTTGCATATTGTGTTTTCCCATCACTATCAATTACATAATCATCATTTTTGCTGTCATCATTTGTATATTCTGCAGAGCGGTGTAGGATACAGAGAGAACAGAGTGTTAATAACAAAACATGCAGTTGACAAATCTTCTGCTGTGGTTGTAATTTCAGCAGACAATGTGTTATCATGGATTAAAAGGACATATCAACTGTAAGAACATCATACTATTATTATTATTGTTCTTCTGTTATGTGGCTCCCTAGGACCTTGGCGAAAGTCACTATAACTCCCTAAAACCCTGGGAAAAATCAATGAGACTCCCTAGAACTCTGGTGAATGTCATTGTGACTTCCTAGGACCCTGATGAATTTTACTGTGACTCCTTAGAATGCAAGTGAAAGTCATTGTGACACCGGTGAAAGTCATAAAAAATATTTCAATGAAATTTACAAATTTATAGCAGTTTACAGTAAAAAGATCAAAAACAATTTACAAGAATTAACATAGTTAAACTACACATGGCTTGCCATATATATGTATGGGTGGGGATGGTCGTCTATGCATACTGATTAACCTTATATGCAAGTTGGAGAGAAATCACCTAATTAGAACGTACAAAATATGGAAATTAATGACTCTTTAAAGAAACAATTTAAAGGAATTCAAAAGCAGGTGTAGAGTAGAGCATTCAATTATGTACAGTAAAACGGAAACAAAAGTATTAAAGTTATCCATGCTGTTAATGTTGAATGACCTGACCCTTATATTCACAAAATTAAGACTATTGTTAATTTATTTATCATGAACTTTAACAAAATTTACCAATCAACCTGATTAGATTAATTAAATTGCTAGAAATTATTACTGCACATCTCTCCCCATGTTGCTGAATGGTTTGCCATAATTGACACCACCACCGACCACTGTCAGTGAACCTTTCTAGTAGATATTGTTATTAAATTCATTGAAAATGTTAAACATTGTAGTTATTGATCAAAATTCCTTATTCAAAATAAAAATAAAATAAAAAATGTAGTTCCTACTATGGGATTTGAATTCATTGCAAAGCAAAGGCTCTAACCACTACATCATGAAGCTCCCCAATAGTTACTTAAAAAAAAAAAAATCGCCAAAAATTCTAAAATCTATACAGGCTATATTTACACATTGACCATATATAAGTTTGATAGTGATCAGCTGAATATTATTGGAGTTATCGTCCACAAGAAAAGTTTATTATGACATTGCTCGACAACAACGAAAGGCAGACATTTTGCCACTATTATGACTTACTCTTTCTCCAAAATTCTACAACTTTTCCTGCTATCAGTCACAAGATTGATATAAATTTTGTCCAGTCAAACACAAACACCGTAACCAAAGTTCCCCCAAATTAAATCATAATTTTGTGAACTAAATTCAATCAGGGACTCTGGTTTCTTCATTGAGTCTGTTGCACACAGATTCATGCATTTTTAGTTTTACCCTGGATATGATTTGATATCTGGACCAACCAATTATGAAGCTGACCACTACATAATAGAACCACAGATGACAAATACCCTAGAACTATATCATTCATATGTCTTTTCTGTGAAGTAAGACCATTTTTATCTTTTTTTATTTTCACAGTCTGAATCTAATGCTTACATTTGGTTATTTTTGAAAAATTCAAATATGACTTACCTCCAGTAGGTATGGCAGCTTCGGCTTCAAAATCAATTAAATTCGGTTCTGTTCTATTATCGTATATAGCCTCACCGTCAACCCGCGGACTTCTACCTGGAGGAGCATCTTTTATTGAAGAATAGACCCCATTGCTTGCCTGGTAAATCAAGAGAAATTATTTCAGATAGATAGGAGGCTTTTAGACTACCCAACCAGATGATAATATTTTCAGATAGTGCTTAAATTTCTATACATGAATAGCAGGGTATTTTGTTTTGTTTTATTTAGTGAGTTGTCAGAACATTTTTCAATATGACGATGAAAAAACTACTTTTTAAGAAGATTTTTTTTAGACTAAATACTCACGGGAAGACTACTTGGTATCTGGTAATGTGACCCTGGTGGTGGAGGAACTGGTTGGGACTGTTTTGGAATTGGTGGAAGCTTACTTATATCATTGTAGTATTGTGGCTCATCGCCCCATGCTGACACCCCTTCTTCAAAAATGGGCACCTCCATTCTGTTCAAATTAATAGGAGTGTTTAGAATGTTGTAACAGAGTAGCAACAGAAATGATGAATTGGTGACAGTCAACATTCAACTATTGTTAATTTAGATTCAAACAAAATATGATAAATAATATAACAAGACTTTATATCATAGATTTTAACAAATAACATCACCAAACAGAGCGGATGATTGGAAATATTCGATTTGATTCGCAGGAAGATGCAAGATTAGCGCAGTATTCCAAAACACACGTAATACATGCTTTGCGAATAAGGAATGTCATGAGCTAAACAACTCAAAATAAGCCAGTTTTTCCAAAGACTCTTTCATTTGCATGTATTAATTAATTCTAAAAATGAATATCTGTCTTGTGATCACCTGGTAATTTGTGTGACTTGTATACATTATTTCATAAATCCTTGATTTTGAACTAAAACTTAGAATGAATTAAGTCATTTTTGAATGTTTTTTCTCTCATAAAACTCATTTTTCATTACAATTTCAATTCAGTTTTGCATATACAATGTATATTCATGGACAACATACTATGTATATTTTCTAATTGTTTCAAAGCTAATTCCTAACTGAAACTACTGAATCTTGACTGAAACTACTAAATCTAAATTGGATTGAAGACAGTGCACTTTTTATAGTCTAAATGGGGGTTTAAGAAACACACTAAGTTGTTTTCAGTCATCAGAAATACTTCTAACAAATATTTTCCTGATAGGCTGGAAAAAAAAGAAGACTTTGGTTCTTGGTTTTTTTGTTTGTTTTTGTATTAAGATTACTTAATACAACAAAAACAAGATACAAGTTCAACATTTAACATTTACTAAATAATGCTTTTAAATACTTGCATTAAAGGATGATTTGGAGCAAAAAAAAATTCTAATTCCGTATAAATTTCAAAAACAAATGTGAAAAGCAGTGTAAAGACCTATTGTTTTTTGTGGGCCTAGCTTACCTGAAAATAAATGAAGTTTATAGAAAAAGTTAAATCGTACCAAAGTAAATATAAATAAATAAATAAAAATCAGAGATATTTTGATACAGTAAATCAAAGGAGAAAGTATATCCATTATTCCAAGTGGCCTTAGATTAAGAATCTGATGGCCTAACAAAGTAAATTATTTATTAACCATTTATTATTAATCAAGGAAGGGTCAACTATAGATGTAGTTCGACAAAATAAAGTAATGAAACATAAAACTGAGAGTTTAATGACATATACCTATCTGGTAGGGCTACTGCTTTTGGAGGATTTCTCAAATATTCTTTAAATCTTAATTCAAATGCTTGACCAACTGTAGTTATAACATCCTGAGCCAGTCCCCCAGCACATTGCAAGACATGACAGGCTCTTCCATTTACTGGATCCTTGGCAACATATGCAACATAATCTATGCAGTCCTATTGAAAAAAAAACACATTGAAACATGACAAGCTCTTCTAATCACTTGATCCTATAGACAACACAGTCTGTTCTATGGGAACAAATTAAATTAAAAGAGTTAAACAGGGCATGTTTTTCTATTCGATAGATTCTTGGCAACGTGACCAAATCAGCAAAGATTAATTTGGTGGGAAAATAAAATTCTACAACTCAATGCACCATGTACCAATTATAATTAAATGGATACTATCGACCCATATGGATAATATATATAATCTTTTTTTCTGAAATTAGTTTTGTCATGCTTCATAATCAACTACAATGCAAAGAAAGCGACTTGTCATATTCTCTTAATTGCGAGACTATCAGGAGGGGGGGGGGCAAGGGTTATTTTCGTTCAACGTAATTGCAATATTTTTTTGTTCGTACAACGTAAATAGAAAAAATAAATTCCGTAATTCTGTAATCACAGGCTAGACATACAACGTAATCAATCAAATATTTTTTTCGTACACTAAAAATGTGTCATTTTTCTCAGTACGTACAAGAATTTACATCCAAATAAAAAAAATCGTAAAAAAAAATCTAGGGAAATTACATTTCAGAAACTGTAAAACGACTAGATGACACAATTCACTACAAAATTGAATGTCCAAGACGTAAAAGGCCCTCTAACCAAATGAAGAGCATTACGAGGGTAATATGCGCATGCGTCTCTACACACGGCGCAGTAATGGCGGAGCATTTGAGTCGGAGAGCTCTTTGGACCATTCAATGTTCCATTTTTTAACATTGTAAACTGTAAAAACGTCTTTTTTTCCCTTGTAAATTATAAAAAGCCCTTTTTATTTCCCGTAAAACCGTACCAGCTACCCCCCTTGCCTCCCCTCTATCAGTGAACAATTTAATTCAACCTTTGTTCAGAGATTTACAGTTTTGAAAAGCATGAACAGAGTGTCCTCTATAGTTGACAACACAACATATTATCTGTGCACGCTTTCACAGCTGTTATTCAAAGCATATCTTTCTAAGGCTGTAAGTATTGAGATGAAGAGTCGCCTGAGTTGCTATGGTAATCATAAGATTACTATCAAGGAAGTTACATGAGTGCTTGTGATTTTCTGCTTAATTAAACTCATCACGTTGTCTGGGTATCATTATACTACGACTCATTGATTAAGTCTGACTGGTAAATTACAGATTGAATTCCATGCACACCACAAATAACAATTATTGTCACATAGAAGCGATTTATTCATTTTTTACAGCAAACTATTTTGGGAAGCAACTTTATACTCTTATCCTGTAAGATTATGTTAATACATCATGTCGATTTCCTCAACAGCTTAAGGAAGTTTGAGCCCAATTCAAATTTTGCACTACTGAGCAATTATTACTGCAGATATATGCAATGCATTATGGGAGATATCTTCTTATTATACATCTGTCACCGTAACTCAGACAGTGAGTGGTTGCACCGATGACCACTGGATTATTAAAGTATCTGGCACAAAATTAAATACATTTTTCTAGCCATGATAAAATTTATAAGTATATTTTAAGTCTATTTCATGAGAATTTCTGTTGAACTACAATGTTCAATCCCTCTCATAGCTTCAAAATTTGCTGATTTTTTCTTAACTTGTGATATTAATGAAAAAAAACAAAAAATTCTCGCTAAATTAAATTGGTTTGCATCATGCTTCCCAAGATAAGATTCAAGTATATTAAATAATAATTTAAGTCTATTTTATTGATATTTCTATTCAATGAGAAAATGTTCAATTCCTTTTGTTTTCAATAAAAAAGAATCTCATCTGCTGTGTTTTACAGCACATTCAAAATCTTAATGGGGACTTTTTTAAGTACCTTACAAATCTGATCGTCATTTCACATACAGATTTTAATCGGATTATATTAAAATGACAGTGTGATTATAATCTTGTGCCAACTTTGTAGTCACATTCAATATTAGAAGCTTCTAGCAATTCAGAGAATCATTTGAGTCAACGCAGACAAGTACAGGAAATTATAAATGTCTCATTTCACATGCTGTATTCAGTGTTCAATTTAAATATACAGTAAAATACTTTATTTTAAATGGAATTAATTTTCGCTGAAAACACTTTGAATGTTTTGTATGGAATTTATTTTCACTGATTTTTGACGAGTTGAATGTAAAATATAGGAAAAAAGCTATATTCGATGTATTTCATTTTCACTAAATCATTCTTTCAACGAAAATAGTGAAAATTAAGTATTTTACAGTATATCTAAACTGACTTACCTGTACAATATGATTCATTATATACCCATTCAATGCCATTTTCCCCCCATCAAAATTATATACACATTTTTAACAACTTTTACTGAAATTTCCTCCAATTTCAAAGTAATATTTTGGAAAAAATTTCATATTATATACATGTAGCTTTATTAAAATTTTGACAATTTTAAGATTAATATTATAAATAAACACATGATTATAAAAGGTGGCATTTGACAAAGGTGCTAAAATGGTTAAAAATCAATACGTCTTGTATTAAAGTTACCTATTACAAGCAGTAAATTACTAGCTATATAGTCTACAAGAAACAAACACTGAAAGCATAAATTGGAAGCATAAATGATGTCCACAGGGATGCAAATTGTATGTTTCCCACATGTCTGAAAAGAATTAACATCCACCCATCTGTCTCTCATTAAAACTTGACATAATAATATAAACGACTTACCGGATCACCACCTGACGCAAATGAAATACCCTGCATCTGATGATTGGCAATTATCTGAAACATATCAAATTTGACATGAACCTCTGTTGTAAATTTACATTTGAGAAAAACAAAATTAAACATTTTTTTCTACAATTTGACATATAATTTTTAATAGCAATCATAAACGTTTTGTAATAATTTATGTAAAGCACATAAAAGGATAACATATTTTACATGAGAATCATAATAGAAATTAACATAATATTTGTTCATTACCTTAATAAATAATTAATCATTAATCAGATATGGACAGACAGTCAGACAGACTCTCAATTTCTTACCTGTCCAGTTTCCATAATCATAAGATTGATACTGTTAGTGGAAATAGTAAGGTTTACATTAGCACCGCCAAACTGTATATTTGGAAGGGCACCTAAAATTTTACCAACAGATTTATTAACCTGTAAAATACAAATATAATATTAATTATTATATAATATTATTCCTAAGCACGGTGAAACCATCGTTACCTTGCCCATCTTCAGTACTGTTAAATTTGTATTAAAAGCCGCAGCTTCTATTAAAATGGTACAATACAACATAAGGGATGCGATTTCTATTAGAGCATGTACACATACAAGAAATAGTGAATATTTGGGTCTCAATTATTCAAAACGAATGGGTGGGACTTCTATTAGGGATGCGGCTTCTAATACAGATTTTACGGTATACATTCAGCAGTAAAATGGTACACTTTACCAATTTTATGTGAGGTAGTATACACAACTCATAGCACCATGTTGGATGAGAAATCGATGGACGTTATCTCTTGCAAAGCTATTATTAAAAGTAGTTTTGAGTTCATCATCTGTTAATCTAGAAACTGTCATTAAAATATACAACAGCTATGGACCGATTTTAATCACTTGGAAAATCATACAGATGGCAATATTTATAATTCAATGATAAATATAATTTTAGTTTATATTTTGGATTCATATTCTTTTATTTTAGTGTTTATGAAACAGTATTTTATGAGACTGAAGTGAAACTGGAACAAATCCCCAATATTTTCTACTTGGATATACATGTATTAAAATTTTCACCACCAGTTGCTTCTTTTCATTAAAAATCCATAAAATAGTGCAGTTAAGGTTCATTTCCAAAAATTTTTAAGAATACAAAAAAAAAAGTGCAGAAGAATTTTGGGGAGAAAGTCTGGTGGTGTAAACGTTAACATAAATTCATAGTGGACATAATTTCATGTTGCTTCATTTGAATCCCATCTCTAATAAAAGCATGCATAAACCAAACATTGAATACTGGGTTATTAAAATGTAACGTCTTTTGACCATGAACGCATTTTACATATTAATGGGTGTGCTACCAATAGAGTAAATACGGTATGAAAACATGTGTTTATCATGACACATAAATCATCTTTTACTATATAGAGTAAAGTATAATTATATGATACTGTGGAATACTTTATTTTCGCTGGAATAAATTTTCACTGAAAAGGCTTTTTGGGCGTTTTGTATGGAATTTATTTTAACTGATTTCTGATGAGTTTAATATGAAATATAGAAAAAAAAGTATATTCGCTGGATTTTATTTTCACGAAATCATCCCTTCAGCGAAAATAAATTCCAAGCAAAAATAAAGTATTCTACAGTATATAAACATCATGCAACATCCAAACGATGGATTAACTTTTATACAACCCTTATCTTCTTATAAGGGCGAGTACACTGGTGTCTTTCAGAAGCAAAAACACATACCTTCCTTTTCTTGTTAACATTTTTGAATCCAGCAGACTCACAAACTCGATGAATTGCCTCTCTGTAGAAAAAATAAAAACAAAATGAAATGGTAGTTGATCTCCATTTACAGTACAAGTTACATGTAGATACTGGTATACATGTACATGCTTCATTTATATGTCAATATCAATGCAGTACTACTGGAAGTGAACAGACAGACAAAATGTAGTGACTATAATCACACATACATGTACATGTACAGACAGATAAACAAGCCTGGATACCATAACAAAACAGGACATGAATGTCACAGTCCCAGTCATTTAATTATAAAATACGGTACTCATGTATTTTATGCGCCTGAAACAGGGACTATAAATGGCTGCCAATCAGCCATTTTTAAATCTCTCTCTCAAAAAAAAGGATGTACACCTGTAACTGAATATGCATCCTGATGAAAAGTTTGATTGGAATCACACTGTCCATCTCAACAAAACAGTTCTGAACATATTTACAGACTGCAATTTTAGGATTTTAGACAAAATTGCTGGCAATTCATCAAATGTTGTTAATCAAATTAAAAAATAACACCTAAAGTATTACCTACAGTGTATGACTACAAATGTATAGTTCTTGTGTGTAAACTAGCGATCAACATGGATATAAATCAAAACAGCCACCAGTCGGCCATTTTCTCAAAAAAAATATGACATGCACCTGTAACCCAATATGCATGATCATGATACAAATTTTGAATTAAATCGCCATGGTCATTTCTGAGAAACAGTCCTGGACACTTTTACAGAGATTTTAGACAAATTGGCCATCAATTCAAAAAATGTTATCAGATCACAAATAACATAAATTATGTTATAGGACTATACTACTTGTGTGCATACTTTTAACTGAATCAGGTGCTATTAGGAATTCCCAGTTGGTAATTTTTTTCAAATTACAAAAAAAAATATGATTTTCACATGTACCCCGCCGATCATGCAGCATCATGATACAAAGGTTGAATTTTTAGATATGATTCTACAATGAGATTGTTCAATACTTACTGAGAATTGGCTTCAGACACAAGACTGTCTCTGATTTTGAAATTCGTCTGAATAAAAAGCTGAATAAAAAGCTTGACTACATACATAGTATGCTTTTTGTTTTTGATATCCCAATGTTTTGTAGACTGTAGTCATATAAAACTATGAAGGATGGGGATCTTAGAGAGCTGTTGGGGGTCATGTGATATCAAAGTGGCCAATCAGTGCCATTCCTAGTACATTTTTGTTGTATATAAACAGACCTTTTATCAAGCTGAATGAAAAGCATGACTACATACACAAAATGCTTTCCCAAATATCCCAATGATTCATATAACCAGCATGCACATACGATGCAATAAGCAAAGAAAAAGAAAAAGAGATGACATATATAAGCTGAGACGAAAAAATAGGAAAAAAAGAAAGCATGATTGTCAATTAATGTAGCGAAAGCAAATTATGGGTAAAATGTGATATGTACATACTTTGTAACCTGTCCTCGTACATCAAACTGTAATGTTCTCATGGACTGTTTAACTTCCAGACAGCCAACATACTACATGTGCAAAGAAAGACAAAAGTAACAAAAATATTATAAAATCATACATATTTCTTACTTGTGATTCCATCTCAAATTCAGACATGTTATATTATTAATGTTCTGTTTCTGTTTTATTGTTTTACTACTAGTATGTTCGTTTCATGGGATCAAGGGTTATTTTTACACTTATTCTGAAATAAATTACTATTATTATTATTTGTGTATCATTATTGAGCAGATGACAGTTTATAAATTTTCTTCATGTGCAATATCAACAGATAGTTGCCATAGCGATGAAAGAGCTAAATGATTATAATGAACAAAATATTAGCAGCTACTCCAAAGAATAAAGAAGAGAAGATATAAGGCGAAACAGAACTCAGACCACTGTTTCACACATGTCTTTTGATTTTGTCATTATCTTACAATTCACATACCACACCAGTTGCATACATCTATCATCATAATATCATCCCGACATGTTCCATCTCATACTCAGATGGGTCTCTCCAAATCGCCATCATCAGTAGACGCTGTTGCTTATTTAATATAGCGAGATATACGATCTGAAACAACATACGTCCCAAGGCAAGATTACCTTTAGCAACAATATTGGATAAAAACTTAACTCAATTCAGAGAGTAAATTGTTGCCATGGAAACATCATATCCTAATTAATCATATTTTGCCAGTAAACTAATAACTCGGAAAACATGGTATATCAAATGGCCAAAGGCGGCTTAATTAGCGTCTGAAGTCGCACATATACGATATTTTTTTTTTTAATTTGCAGGATATGGCAATTTTGAAAAACCTGTTTTCCAATTTATAATCAGTCTCCCCAAATCATTTTCTCACAATAGTTATAAAACAAAAAATATTATAATATCAAACTATTTTCAGTGTTTCGATGTTTTGGGTGTGACATATTTATTATATTAGTAACGCATACACTTAACTTTTATAAAAGAGGTCTGGTCAAAATAAATAAATTAACAAGTCATTGTCAATGACACGTCCCCGTTCCGTTCATATTTGAGTGACATATACATTCAAAGCAGATCATGACCGAAATGCACCTGCATATGTACAACACATTGTGCTAAATCTGAACAAAATCCATCCATGCATGACTGAGATCCGGTTCTGGAATTGTGAAAATACGTGATTTTGATGCATTTTCGGCCTTAAAATGGCCATCATTCCGCTATTGTTAAGC